CGGCGGCGGGCACGGCGCGGCGCAGCGGAGGGCCGGAGCGGTGGCGTTTGTGCTGTCCAGGGTGACGGTGATAAAGCACCGATCTTGAGCCCTGTGACTGACTCCCGAAGTCCGCAGCGGTGGCAGCCGTTTAAATGCTTTACCGGACTGGTCCTCTATCGTGTATCCTTCTCTTTTCTTTTTCGTTGTGCAAAGTGAGAGCTTCCTCTTGTCTTCAGATGTCTTGGAGGTGGAGGTTTCTTTCTGCGTGCAGGCTGTTTCCTTTAGCGTGCTAGTGATGCCAGTGGGCATCACCCATTCTCTGTCATAGTTTCGTTTTCTGAGGGAGCAATAAATGCCATAAACCTGTGAGCTGCCTGAGTTTGTTTTATACTGTGATGTACATAAGGAAAACCAGCTGTAAATTGTGTGCTAGTTTAATCTGATAAATATTTTAGTTTCTTTATCCAGTGTACTTTGCACTTTGTTCTCTGTATTAAAAACTCTTTAAGGAAATTGCTTGGCTTGTGCCATATCTGGGCAGTGTTTGATGTAATGGTTTCCTACTGCAATGTAAGCTTTGAGTTATCAACCTCAGCAGAAATAGCTGTCACATATGACTGCCTCCTCCATCCATGGTTCTACTTAAGTGCTCAAAATAGCATTTTCATACTCTGATAGAGGTACTGAATCTGTACTTAAGGTGCTACTACTGAGCAGTAACTTGGCTGTGGAGTGTTAGTACATCCCTTGGTCTGGTAAGGGCCCCTAAAGTTCAAAGACTGAAAGAAACAAGTAATCTAATGGAATAAAGAAATGAGTACGCTTTATACAGTGTAACATTGTGAGAAGTTAGGCAGTGGGTGGGTTCATGGCCTTCTAAGAACCAACATCCTCTGTAATGGAGCATCATTATAAGGCTCGTATCTCGTATTACGTGATTTCCTCCCAGAGTTGTCTTAAAGGTTCTCATCTCAACTGTACTGAGCAGATGAATTTCAAGGATACTTCATATTTTCAGTAGTCAGGGCAAATATGTTGATGATTAACCCATCTTTTTTCTTAGCTTTTGTAGTTAATTGATGGGCTGAGTTTAACACTAATTTGCAACTTGTTACAGAGAAGGGAGTCTCTTTGTGCCTTTTTTTTTTTTAAATACATGCTGCACACTCCAGTGACTTCTGTTTCCATGCGTCCTCACAGTATTCAGTAGTTCACAGAGCTTGTGGCATATTTGCAGTCTTACACAGAAATAAGCCATCGTCACAAGATGTGACAAATCTTGGGTACAAACAGGATTGTATTTACTGTATCAAAAATGTATTGACATTGTGAAGTTGGTACTTTAGTGCCATTAGGCAGACCACTCAAATGTGCAACACAGCATTTGAAAAGTCTTTCAGTGCAAAGCAGAACTTGGTGTGTTTGGATTTGGTGCCTGTGAAAGTAAAATTTTCAAGTATGGTTTCTTACCATGTTAACATCAGGACAGTAGTCAGTGCCCTTGTAAACTTGTGCAGCAAGAACCGCAAATGATCATTCCCTTAGAGAAAGGCCTTCTCCAATAACATGTTAACTGTCTCTGAGTTCAGTCAGAGGTGCCTCTGTCATAGTTAATTTCAATGTGGTGACTCTGCACCTTGGAGCTTTCATTATCTTACATATGGGATATTTAACTCTGAAAGTGTGCTAAGACAGATAGTTTGACATGACCAGTAAATGCTGGCATACTGAAAACTGGACTGGCTGAGGACCAGGAGGTTTGATGCCTGATGTCTCCTACATCAACAGTGTATGAGTTTCTCATTACGCTTCTGGTAGAGCTTTCTGGCATCTCGGTGCCTCTAGGAGTTTTGCATATTGTGTTTCTCCAGGTGTTGTACTCCAAAATGCTGAATTTCTGGCATCTTGAAAGTTGCAACTTACGCAATCAAACAAAATATTTTGCTTTTTATCTTTTGTCGCATCTTTTGCTGAGCTTTCCATTGTATGCTAACAGTTTGCCTACAATTTAAACAGATTATTTTGCCAATCCACCAAAATAAATTCCAGTGTATCAGTAAGCTAAGAGGCAAAAAAAGATTGTCATTAAGAGAGAATATGGAGAATAAGCACAGCAGTGGTGGAAACTCAAGAAATAAGTATAGCTCTCTTTTTTTTTGTTAAAATTTGCTTTCCAATGCCTAATAAATAATATATAATGAAATTATTTGTGATCAGTGAAAAAATATTGGCAACTTCTGCTGTTTTTATAACCAGAGGGTTACTCTTAAATGTGTTTAAGAGGTATTTGAATTACTTACTAAGCTACTGTTGTGATAAATTTGCTCAGTATAAGTACTTCCATTCTTAATGCTTAAATCAATCCATCTTGCAGTGATTTTATTTTTGTATCATTAAAATCTATGCTAACTTACTTTTTTTAAGAGTCTGTGTAATCAGAAGCTGAAAACAGGTCTATTTTAAACATGCCATGCATCAACAAGATTTTACTTGATTTTTAAATAAAATGTTGGAGCTATCATAAGGAATGTATAAGATGGAACAATATTGTCAGTTTTTTCCAAAACTGTTACATTGTATTTCAGGCTTTAGTGAAATGCTTGTGTATAGCATCTTTGTTACTGACATTTCAGTGGGAACAAGGAAGCAGTTTGTATACCATTGTGCACCAAGCTACTTCCTTACTGTGTGTTGACTGATTTGGAAAGCTGTGTGGTTCTTGCTCAAATTTGAGTGCTGATGATACAGCTAAATACAGAGTATCTGCGTTCTTGTAGCATTCCTTATCCAGGTGCAGCTTCTTACGTGTGACAAAGTATTTTTTTTACTCTTGAAAAGTGACTTCTTATTTCAGGTGAATTCTTGTTACTTTAACAAGTGATGCCATAAAAACTATTTTCATGGTGGAAGTTGTATGGAATTGATGTTAAAATTTTGGCTGATAGCTCCAGTCATTCATATTTGTGATTGTGCTTTTAAACACAATGGCTTGTGAAGGTCTGGTGAAAGTTCCTGTATTTGCCCAGACTCTGTATAAGTCTATTAATGACAGCATGCTCTTTGCATGAATTCTAGGGTCTCCAACTTCTTTCTACTTGTTAAATCTTGCACATCTTGAAAAGATGTCTCTTACTGTTTCTGTACTATCTGTTCACTTCTTAACTCCTTTAATTGATATCTTCTTGTAAATATTTACAAGTGCATCAATTGAACTTCTGAAAATAGTGAAATTTTTTAAGTAGGACAGACGACAAGGCACTTCAAGTTCTGCAGTTGTTGTCTTCTGTATTTCTTTCTTTAGATGGAGGTGACTCTGTCAATAAAGGATGGTTGGAAAATGTTTCAGAACCACCAGTGTTCACTGCTGGCTTTTGTCTGTAGATTATCTCTAGTGACTGTCTGCCCAGAAGGTGTGGGCTACTGAGTGTTCCTATATTTCTGTAATATAAAACTCTTTGCTTTGATCTCTGAGTAATGCTTAGAAATAATTTCTGTCTTTTTTTAATGCAACTGCTTTTCTAGAGACTTTTGGATCTCCTTTTATTGGTGTCTAAAAGTTATATACGTTTGTGTTCTGACATTACGCAAGTTCATTCAGACTCTGATTGAAGATTACATTTATCATATTTGCAGTCCTTCCATGAGTGCTCAGTACCAGATCCTCGCTACTAGACAACCTCAGCAGGCTGTTGTCATGTTGAGACTTACTGACCCAACAGTGAACTGGAAAAGTTTATCTTATTAGCACTCTTATGAGTTACATGCAGTTATTCTCAATTTCTTCCTGCAACGCTTTTGTCTCCACTTAATCTGGTTTTATCTTACTTTTTGTATTTGTTAATTTGTATGAATGGCCTTAATATTATCTAGTTATATGAATAATTGAGAAATGATACAAATATCTCCCTATCCATAAGCACTACTGAATTTGTGATTTGAGAATAAAATCCTTTTCCTTAAATGTGTTTTATCGTTTCATCCATTTGTGATCTAATAAGTTTTTCTTAGTTTGGACTGATAATTCTTTTTAACGTATAAAATAAATCAGGACAGCAAGTGGTAAAAAGTATCTTTCAGGTCATAAATTGGCAAATAGCATAGCACATTCAGTTAATTATATGCAGAAAGCTACAGAAGGCTACAGGGCTCTCAGAGTTTGGATGTGGCATTTAGGTTCATTTTTTAGATTCCTAAACAAGTTCTTGCAAAGGACCTGCTGAATCAGTGTAAAGTACTAAAAGTATTAAGATAAAAGTAACTCTGTATTTTCTTTATCACATTAGGTAGCTGAGGTATGTAGATACATTTTGTGAAAATGGGTAGCTATATAGGACAGCACTGAAATGACATTTAGTGAGCATGGTGGTGGTAGGTTGATGGTTGGACTTGATGATCTTAGAGATCTCTTTCAATCTTAATGATTCTATGAAAATGCCCTTGCCAGATTTCTGTACAATTAACTGGTACCTTTCAGGTCTCCTTTAAGAGGTTCTCATTGACAGTACAGTTCTTTTACCCTGAAAATTATTTCTGGGCTAGATGTCACTTTGTGGAAGGTGACTGCATGACTGTTATATCTCTGTTACCCCTTGGCTACATTGCTGAGCTCTGAGGCCAGTTCTTCACATCATTCTCATACATCTACCTACTGGGAATGATTACTGTAGGAGGAGACAGCATTTTAAAGGTATGTTGTAGGAAATAACTGTTTGCGTTGGAAAAATTTCTGTTGCAAGGGGTTAAATGTCTTCTCTAACGATATTGTAGTTTTGTTTGCATTGTTTTACATCTGTCGTGTGTGAGACTTTTCAATTCTTTTAGTTTGAAAATTTAGCACCAGCAATTACTATTTTATGGTAATAGTCTGGAGGACCATTGAAAGCAGTCAGTGTGTTACTTCTCTTACCACTTCAAGCCTACCCATGTTATTGCAAGCTGCAGTGGTAAACACACTAAGTTGGAACATTTGGGTGTTGAACACCTTTTCCAAGGTAGATGTTAAATCCAGAGGCAGAGTCTATGTTAACTTCATGTTAAGTATTCCAGTTGGCTTAGTAGCCAGGTGTCACCGTGTGTGTTTAGATCAAACAGTAAGAAAATTTGCTTTGGTACATATGTGCTAATGTATGACAGGGAAAAGAAACTGAGGCATATTTAAAGAATTCTTAGCTGCTGAGGAGTTGTCTGTGATTTTTGGGCTTGCGTTTTGTTTTGAGGAGGGTTTTTTGAGTTTATAAATCAACTGAAGCAAGTATAGAAATAGGACCTTGCTGCTTTATTCAGATTTAAGGATTAGAGAGATCACAGTTCATTCACACTTTCATGTATCACACCTGTAAATTGCTCTGCTGAAAGCTTCTTGAGCATTTGGCATTCATTTGGTTATTTCAAACTCTTACCTTTTAGCAGGTAATTATATTAATCCAATGTCATAAACATCTGCCAACAAATTGAGAGCTATTAGCTTTATTTATCTTGAGAAACAGGCAGTTCTCCAGGCTGAGCTTCCAGTTTATAAAGAATGCATTTCTTTTATTTGAGCAAAGCTTTTTGACTTATATATCACTTCATAGGCATAGAGACTGACAGCCTGCTGTGGGCAAAACAGACTCAACTCATAGAATTTTTCTTAATTTAATTTATTGCAAATTAACACAAACTTTTGATTATTGATTGGGGAGCAATTAAACAAACACTTAGGAAATGGCTTTCCACTCCATTCTCCAAGCTCATCTGCCATCATACACTTCTCTTCCCCCATTTCTAATCTAAGCTGCCCTCATTCTTCCCATGTGCAACAACACTTGGTCAGTCCAAATTCCCTTGGTGAGGCAACCGGTGGTGTGAGATGTCAGGGCCATGTGGAGGGCTTCCCTCTGCTGCCACTGCTCCTCCATGCTCTTTACTGGTTTTCTTCTGCTCTTATGAGCTGTTCACAGGCTCAGCCTTGTGGAAGTAGGACGACAGGGAGGAGAAATTAACATAGATCCCCCATGGGCCCCAGCACCTTTGGGGCTATGCCTGCTCTAGCATGGAGCATCTCCTTTCAATGTGTCTCCAGTGTTGTCTCCTCTGTGTGTTGCTTCTCGTTTGTCTCTTCTGTTTCTTCCCCACAGTGTTTGAACAGAAGCACCATGTGCCCTTCTGGTTGAAATTTTGTTTTTCAGCGAGTTGTTTCTGTCAGTTTGAGAACCATCTGGCACTGGCTATGACTGGCTCAGGTCAATTCATGGCCTCTTTCCACATAGTTCAGACTTAAGCCCATTGGTACCAAAACCCTGCAGTATATACTCAGTACATTTCCAAGTGTGGCTTAGCAAGCAATTTAGATGGCTCTTAGTGAACAGCTATGGTTATTTTCCCAGGCTGTTAAAAATATGATTCATTTATATAATCTTCTATACTTTATAGTTTAGGAATCCTTGTCTTTTCACACATCTACCTCTCTTTCTAGAGAACATACAGTTTGTTTTTTTTTCCTCCTACATTGTGGATTAATTTGGGCCTTATCACTGTTTTTTTTCCCCAAAAGTCTTTTCTTTTGTATCCAAAAAAAGTAAAAACTTTCTGCTTAACTGTTTTAACACAATAATCTGCAAACACACTTTCGCTGTGAATATGCAGAGACATATTCTATTGTACTCTTCAAGATTTTAATGACATCAAAAGCTAGATCATGACTATACATCCGGACAATTTATGAAAGAATAACCAACAGATTTATAATCTGAACATATTGCTAGGTTGTCATGTGAATCTTCTGAAGTCAGGAGTTGGATGCATCTTATTTGAAAAAGACCACAATGCTAGGCTGAAACAGGCTCAGCAGTGAAACCTGAGTGAACTTTCTATCAAGTCAACAAAAGATGCCATGATGTGTCTCACATGTGAGAATCTTAGTGAGAAATTAAGCATTTAACCAAACATTGTTTATCAGAATCAAATGAAACATCATCAACTGTTCAAGTAGTTTACTCAGTAGGTTCTTTTATTCAGAGGTGACCAGCTCATCTTCCTGGAGACCACATCCACAGAATGGGACAACTGTGCAGTCATCTCACTGCTACCTGGCATAGTGGGAGGAGGCAGAGACTGTGAAAACTAAGAGTACAGGACAGAGGGAAGGAGGAAGTAAAACAAATAGGTCTTATATACAAGTGAAGCTTTCAAACTGAATCATTTTCTAAGTTGACCAAAGGTTACAAAAGATGCAGCCTCTTAAATTCCTGCATGGACAAGAGAAAACAGCTTATCTGCAGTTAGGACTGCCCAACTTGGTCCATGAACCTACCTAGTAGCTTATCTTGAAATGACAGTCTTTTGGAGCAAAGCAGAAAGGACCTGCTGCCAGTAGATACAGTCATGCTGGGCTCACCCAGGAAATGCAGGTGTAGCTCTGCCTGGTGAGGCTGTTGCAGTTGGCTTAGTTGAGGCTCACCTATGGTGTAGGAGAAAGGACCAGAAGGTGAAGACTGCCCCTGCTCCATTAGTAGGCTGTTGTCTTGTACATGCATTACCTCATCTTAACTTCCTGCTACCTTAAAGTAAATACTGCACTCTTCATAAAATTTTGAGAGCAGAAGAGCTTTTGGGAGGTAGAGAAAACAAGGAAGCTGTAATTATACCTGGAGGGAAAAGGTGCTTATCTGTACTTTCAAATGTAGAACTCACCAGTTCAGTTATTCTGTATTAACTATCAACCTCGAATGGCACAGCAGGATATTAATTTTATAATATCCATATTTTTAATTGCTTATTTTCCTTACTCTGAGCAATTTATTTTTTTTCCTGCACAGGCTTGCCATGTGGAAATTTGTGTAATGTGAGAGGTCAAGTTGAAATGATTGGAATGTAGAAGAGTTAAAAAGTAATAATTACTTCAGACTCTTAATTCTGAACATCAGTCTCTTTGCGTCATCTCTATTTGTTTCATTGCACCAAGTGCTATGAGAAATTTGGCAGTTTTGTTCAAGATACAGTTTTTATCTGTCAACGAAAGTAGCGTAGTCAGAACTAGGGAGAAGGCAACTGAAGCGTGGAAAACAGACTTCTAGTGAAACCTTAATCAGTGTTTTAAAAGTATTTTTAGTTAGTCTAAATACTAGGGATGGAAAGAAAGAGGTAAGGGAAATGATGAGGACAAGCAGCTATGTGGAATGCAAGAGTTTCAGAGAAGAATCTGGCTAGAAGTGCAGAAAGCACCTGTCAGAGTCATGACGGCAGGACTGAAGGGGTTGATGAAATGTCCTGGTTTTGCTGGGATAGAATAAATTTTCTATTCAGGAGAGCTGCATTTCTGAGAGGATTTCAGCGTTCAATTTATTGAAAACAAGTTGGTAAGATACTTTCTTTTAGTTTTAGCTGGGATAGAGTTATTTTTCTTTGTAGTACCTAGTGAGGCTTTGTTTTGGTTCTCTGCTGAGAATGGTGTAATAAAACAGAATCACAGAATGTTAGGGATTGGAAGGGACCTCAAAAGATCATCTAGTCCAATCCCCCTGCCGGAGCAGGAACACCTAGATGAGGTTGCACAGGAAGGCGTCCAGGCAGGTTTTGAATGTCTCCAGAGGAGGAGACTCCACAACCTCTCTGGGCAGCCTGTTCCAGTGCTCTGTCACCCTCACTGAGAAGAAGTTTCTTCTCCAATTTCAGTGGAACCTCCTGTGTTCCAGCTTGTGCCCATTACCCCTTGTCCTATCATTGTTTGTCACCGAGAAGAGCCTGGCTCCATCCTCGTGACACTCACCCTTTAAATATTTATAAACATGAATGAGGTCTCCCCTCAGTCTCCTCTTCTGCAAACTAAAGAGACCCAGCTCCCTCAGCCGCTCCTCAGAAGGGAGATGCTCCACTCCCTTAATGATCTTTGTAGCCCTACGCTGGACTCTCTCCAGCAGTTCCCTGTCCTTCTTGAACTGAGGGGCCCAGAACTGGACACAGTATTCCAGTGATGGTTTGGTTGTTGCCAAGCAATGTTTACATTAAGTCAAGGATGGACTTTTTTCAGGTTTTGCCTGTCCTAGGTTTTTTTTATATATAAAATAATTGGGAGGGAACACAGACAGGGCAGGTGACCACAGTGACCTACAGGAAGTATTCCATATCATAAACATCACACTCACTCTAAATTGGGGACTTTGCTGTGGATGCCCTCTTACTTCTGTGGTTGTCTGAAGGTTCTTGCCCTCTGTCCCTGAGGCTTACCCCCTCCCATGTCATTGACTGTCATGTTTTCATTGGTGCACAGCCAGCAACTGGTGTGTGAGTGGAATATAACTTTGATTGCTTTATTATCATTGTTCCCATCTTTATTACAATTCATCAGTGATGTTTTTCTTATATTAGTATAGTTTATTTCAATAATTAAACTGTTTTTATCTCAACCCACAAGTGCTCTGACCTTTTTCTTCCAATTTTTTCCCCTGCTCCACTGGGGAAGGGGCAAGTGAGCAAACAACTGTGTGGTGTTTACCTGCTTGCTTGTTTTAAACCACAGCATGGAGTTAAACAGGACCAGAGTTGACTTTTACTTGAGTTTCAGAGACCTGGAAAGGCAGGAGAAAATACAGATTATTTAGTGCATTATTTTGAGCAAGAGATTAGTGTTGGACATCAGGATACAAAAATGAGGGCAGATGTAGAGACAAATAAATGTATGTAGAAAGCAGGATTAAAAAGTCTAAAGCTACACAAAATATTCAAAAGTTGGAGGCAGAAAAGTGACAAAGGTTGTTTAGGTTCAGAAGAATATACTTCAATGTTTTAATGTTAAAGAATTTTCTAAAAGAAGTAATTTTTTTTTCCCAAAAAGATATAATTGAAGAACAAAGACTTTAATGTGTATCCAACATTAACAAATATTTGACTGGTTTAAAGTCTCAAAAGAGTGCAGTTAAATACGGGACACGGTCTAGATTGTGACTACCCCTATAGTTGTGCAGGCTGAAGTAGAGCTCTTCAGTCTCATTCTTCAGCTCTCAAGGGGGTTACTCATAAGACAGCTGTGCCTCCTTAAAATTCCTTTTGCTCACCGGAGCATATTTTAAGCAGGTAAAAAAACCTGAGCTACTCTAGTACAAACAGCTTTGGCTACGTTGAAAAATCAAACGAAGTCAAATGAAGTTAAGTTCTGGAATTAAACTATGTTCTGAGATAATAGAGGGAAAAATATTTCTTCACTTCTCATTAGTTTGTGGGGAAGTGAACAGACTGACTGCTATTTTCTTTTTCTTTCTTTTTTTTTCTGAGTATTTTATGGAGTACTTAGTTATCATAACTGAATAACCTCCAATTCTTGTAGGCATTTGGCATAGCTACTGATGAAAACTTTGTTATCACCACAACAAACAGGAAGGAAGTTACAGAAGACAAGTTCAGTAAGTATCTTAGATGGCAAAATGAATACACCCATTTCTTATATTGATTGTAAAGACTGTATGGTGATTGTTTATATTGTGACATGCAATAGTTAACTGGAAGTATAAATCCTATAATAGTTTGCCAATAATTGTTACAAAATTGGCTTTCACAAACAAGTTTTTAACAACTACTTGTTAGTATGATGACAGTTATACAAGGTAATTTTTTACCTTCCATCATAAGTTCTGTAAATGATAGGAAAAAATGGCATGTAAATAGCTATCACCTGCAAAAACTTTCATTACTGATTTGGAAACGTGAAAAGATTTTAAATTAAATATTGTCGCTGGGTTGTTGAGCAGTCAGTGCCTAAGAAAATACGGAGATTAAGGCTAAACCTGATCTGGTTTTGAGAGCAGAAGTTGCCTGATGCAGTGCTCTTCAATATACTCCATATTTCATCTTCACTGCAGGCGAACTTGTTCAAGATGGAGTTACTTTGTATCTACTACAGTCAGTTGATCAAATACTGCTTTCGGCAACCAAGGAGCGAATTGACTTCCTGCCCCACTACGACACACTTGTCAAAAGTGGCATGTATGAATACTATGCCAGCGAAGGCCAAAATCCTTTGCGTAAGTACTTGCCAAAATAATCTTGTGTAAGTGATGTTTGTATGAGTATGTGATTATGAGCAATTTAACTTGTCATTACAGCTGGTGAAAAAATATATTCTTAACTGTAAAGTAACAATTACCTATGTTCTTCATACAAATTTTTCTTTCATAAATGACTCAAAATGGCTGTGTAAAAATCCAGATTTACAGAGGTACCTTCTCAAATACTTCTTTAAAAACTTTGACTATTTTAGAAGTAAAATTACTTTAGTCTTGATAATAATCTTGTGGATGTCACCTAGACAGGTCAGCATTTGTGTTACCAGTTTTTTTTCTCCTCTACTTGCAATAGACTTGGTATTTGAATTAAATGAATGGGTTTTGTATGAGCTACCATAGAATTTTGTCTGTTCTACCATCTGTGGTTCTACAGAACTTGACAACGAGAGAAAATATTTCTTTAAAAAGATGCTGCTTTACTTTTTATCTAACTAGTGTATTAAATATGGAACCAGCATTTCATATTGTTCCATTGAAAAAATAATTTCTGTTTATAGCTTCTCTGAAAATAGTGTCTGGGGCTATGATTACTTTTAAAGTATGTACGCCTTAGGTACAGCAGGCTCAAAATCATACAGAAAAAAATGCAAACATCAAGACCCAAGCATTATACCATTGCCACAATGATTTCTGTTTCAAAACAACCTTAACAATGTCTATCAATAGCAACTGTATTTTTATGTACTAGTCTATTTTGGCCTCCTCCCTCTTTCTACATTTAATTTCTTCCTTGGCCCATCAAAGACACTCTTTTGTTTCAGATTTGGGGGCACTGCACTTAAAGTGCGGTAATAGTTTGGTCAGTGATATGTATATCTCTGGGCACAGGAATTGCTCTAGCAGACCATACAGAGCATGCTGTCTAGATCTGTGCTTTGTTCTTATCAGCTGCCAGTATCAGATACCTGAGAAGTACTAGGAGAACAGAAAGGCCATGCAGAGATGCAGCGGAAGTGATCTGGGGACTTTTGAGTTCATGTCCATGGTCTGCTCTTTTTCCATTAACTTGTCCCATTACTTTCTGAACCATATAACATCTTTAGTATTCACACTATTTTGTGGTATTGAGTCCCTAGCTTAATTGCATGTGATGTGAAGTGCCATGTCTTTTTGGATCTGTTGAGCTAGTTACTGCTTTTTCTACCTTTTGACCCTACTTTGTATGCTGGAACCTATCATAAAGGTTTGCTGGCAAGATTGGCTGACAGTGAATTATGCTCTGAGCCGAAGAACTTAAGGGCTGGGCTGCAAAGCTGTGACATTAGTTTACTCACAAGCACCAGGATGGATGAACGCACCTACTGGAGTAGTGAGAAATTACCCCAACCCTCCAAAATGTTTCTGCCAAAAAGGTGCTCATAGAATCAAAGAATCATAAAGGTTGAAAAAGACCTCCAAGATCATAGAGTCTAACCATCAACCTAACACCACCATGCCCACTAAACCATGTCCTGAAGTGCCATACCCATGTGCCTCTTGAACACCTCCAGGGATGGTGACCCCATCACCTCCCTGGGCAGCCTGTTCCAAGGCTTGACCACTCTTTCAGTAAAGAAATTTTTCCTAACATCCAATCTAAACCTCCCCTGGTGCAACTTGAAGCCATTTCCTTGTGTCCTTTCATTAGTTATGTGGAAGAAGAGAGCAACACCCACCTCTCTACAACCTCCTTTCAGGTAGTTGCAGAGAGCAATAAAGTCCCCCTTCAGTCTCCTTTTCTCCAGACTAAACAACCCCAACTCCCTCAGGCGCTCCTCATAAGGCTTTTTCTCCAGATCCTTCACCAGCTCCATTGCTCTTCTCTGGACCTGTGCCTTCCAGTGCCTCAATTCCCTTCTTGTAGTGAGGGGCCCAGAACTAAGCACAGTATTCAAGGTGCGGCCTCACCAGTGCTGAGTACAGGGGAAGAATCACTTCCCTAGTCCTGCTGGCCACACTATTTCTGAAACAAGCCAAGATGCTGCTGACCTTCTTTGCCACCTGAGCACGCTGCTAGGTCATATTCAGTTGGCTGTCGATCAACTCCCCCAGGTCCTTTTCTGCCTGGCAGCTCTTCAGCCACTCTTCCCCAATGTTGTAGCACTGCACAGGGTTATTGTGGACGAGGTGCCATGGCACTTAGCCTTGTTAAACCTCATACAATTAGCCTCAGCCCATCGATCCAGCCTATCCAAGTCCTTCTGTAGAGCCTTCCTACCCTTGGGCAGATCAACACCCCCACCCAATTTGGTGTCTTCTGCAAACTTACTGAGGGAGCACTCAGTTCCCTCATCCAGATCATTGATAAAGATGTTAAACAAGACTGGTCCCCAAAATGAGCCCTAGGGAGCTCTGCTTGTGACCAGCTGCCAACTGGATTTAATTTTGTTCATCACAACTATCTGTGCTCGTCTGTCCTGGCAGTTTTTTTACCAGGGAAGTGTTAACCTGTCTAAGCCATGAGCTGCCAGCTTCTGTATGAGAATGCCCTAGAGAACAAGTACTAGTCCAAGTGAAGTGTCTCTATTCCAATGCATGCAGCATAGATAACAAACAGGAGGAGCTGGAAAGTACTGTCCTAAGTATCTAATCACTATCACTGAAGCTTGATGGGATAACTCACATGATTGGAGTACTGCAATTGATGGGTATAAACAGTTCAGGAGGGATAGACAAGGAAGGAAATGTTGGGGGTCACCATCTACTTAAAAAAATGGATTGACTGCACAGAGCTGAAAAGCAGCAGTGTACAAGTCAAAGGCTTATCAGTGAAAAGTAGAGACCAAGCCAAAAAAGGAAGCCTTGTGGTTCGTGTTTACTACAGGCTTCTTGATCAGGTTGAGTATGTCAATGATGTTCATTCTTCAACTACAGGAAGCATCATTCTTGCAGGCCCAGATCATGTTAGGGTACTTTAATCACCCTGACATCACTGGAAAAGCAGCACAGCATGCTGCAAGCAGTCTAGAAGACTTTTGAGGATAACTTCCTAATCTAGGTGGTAGAAAGCTTAACCAGAGGAGAAAGCTTAAACAGTGGACCTGTTGCTCACCAACACAGAGGACTTACTGGAAAGGTCAAGATTGGTAGCAGTGATCATGCTCTGGTGGAATTCATGATTTTGAGGGATATAGGCTAGATGAAAAGTATAGTCAGGTCTATAAACTTTAGGAAAGTGAACTTTTAGTTGTTTAAAGGAGTGGTGGATGGGACACCCTAGGAAACAGCCCTCAGGGATAAAGGAGCAGAAGAAAGCTGGCAGCTATTTTAAGGCCTTTTTCTAAGAGCACAAGAACTACTGATTCTCATGTGCAAGAAATCAGTCTAGGAAGACAGGAGACTAGCATGGTTGAGTAAGGACCTCCTGGTCCAACTAAAACACAAGAGAGAAATTGATAGGCAGTGGTAGCAGGGGCATACATCTTGGGAATAATATGAGGATATTGCTTGGGAATGTAGTGATGGGATCAGAAAGGTTAAGGCACAGCTGGAGCTAAATTTGACAATGGATTTGAAGAATAATAAGGGTTTCTATGGCTACATTAGAAAAGGAAGATGAAAGAAATTGTACACCCCAAAAAATGAAAGGAAGGGATCTAGTGACAACTGACATGGAGAAGACTGAAATACTAAACAGTTATTTTCTTTGGCCTCAGTTTTCACTGGCAATCCTTCTGCCAACATCTCTCAAGTTCCTGAATCTAAAGGCAGGAACTGTAGGAATGAAGTCCCACTTACCATAGGAGACGACCAAGTTCAAGACCATCTGGAGAACCTGAATGTACAAGTCTATGGGACCCAATGAGATGCATCCAAGGGTCTAGAGGGAACTAGCAAATGTAGTCACTAAGTCACTTCATCAAATTTGAAAAGTCATGGCAGTTAGACAAAGTCTGCAGTGACTGGAAAACTGGAAACATCACACCCATTTTTAAAAAGGAGAGTTCTGGGAACTATGGACCACTCAGCTTCACCTCAGTGCCCAGTAAGATCACAGAATCAGAGAACGGTAGTGGTTGGAGGGGACGTCTGGAGATCATCTAAACCAGCCCCCCTGCTAAAGCAGGTTCACCTAGAGCAGGTTGCACAGGATATCATCCAGGTGAGTTTTGAATATTTCCAGAGAAGGAGAATCCACGACCTCTCTCTCACTCTGCAGTGGTGCAGTTGATACACACCTGAAGGAAGGGATGCAAACCTTCCCAGGCTTGAGAAGTGGGCCAGTGTGAACTGCAAGAAGTTCAGTGAGGCCAAGTGCAAGGTCATGCACCTGTGTCAGAGCAATTCCCTTTATAAAGACTAAGAACTCACTGGACTGAGAGCAGCTCTGCAGAGAGGACTTGGGGATACTGATCAGTCAAAAATTGGTCATGAGCTGGCAATATGCTCTTGCAGCCCAGAAATCCAATCATATCCTGGGCTGCTTAAGAAGTAGTGTGGCCAGCAGGTCAAGGGAGGTGATTCTCACACTGCTCCGCTCCCCATCTGGAGTACTGCATTCAGCTCTGCAGTCCCCAGCACAAGACAGACATGGACCTGTTAGAGGGCTGTAAAATGTCAAAGGGCTGGATTGCCTCTCCTATGAAGAGAGGCTGAGAGAGTTGGGGTTGTTCATCCTGGAGAAGGCAAGGCTCTGGGGTCATCTTTTTGTAGCCTTTCAATATATAAAGGGACTTATAAGAAAGATGGAGAGAGACTTTATCAGGGCCAGAAGGAACAGGACACAGGGTAATGGTTTTAAACTGGAGGAATCTACATTTAGATTGGACATAAGGAAGAAATTCTTTACTGTGAGGGTGGTGAGAACTGGAACAGGTTGCAAAGAGAAGTTGTGGATGGCCCATCATTGGAAGTCTTCATGGTCAGTTTGGATGAGGCTTTGAGTAACCTGATCTAGTTGAAGATGCCCCTGCCCATTGGAGGTGGTTTGGAACTACATGATCTATGAAGGTTTCTTCTGACCTAAACCATTCTATGAT